CCCGCCCCCCAACCCAGACTCCCATGGCTGATGTTTGAGAGTTACCACCACATTTATGGACAGACTGAGTTCCAATGGGCCTGGCCAGAGGGACGTTGCCCACACTTTCAGATTCCCCCAAGTTAGGCACAATCCCCCTGGGGCTCTCCTGCCTCTGGGAACTGGGAAGGGAGGTTTACTCTGAGACCTTCACCCAAAGGAGCAAAATTAGGACAGGGTCCTGAGTTGTCAGAGCCATCAGGCTGGGGAAAGGTTCCCCTGGAGAGTTTAGGAAAGTTGATATTTAGGTGGGTGCTCTTGTGGCTGAAGGATGGGAAGGTCTGGGGAAATGGAAGGAGGCTCCTAATCACAGGCACTCAGAGCTGGGGGCCCAGGAAATGACACCCCACGGGACCTCATCTACCTTTCTCAAGTAGGCTCCTGCTCTCCACTCCCATCATCTCTCTAGGGGAGTCTGAGCATCCAGCCCCCACCACCCACCCTGCAGGCATGACCACCCACCTTGAGCAGTAAACTCAGGTGCCCCCCAAGGATATGTTGTGGCTCTTCCTGGGTGGTGTGTGTGAGGGAGATGGGAATGCTGGGGCATAGCCCTTACCTGAGAGGGAGTAGTCAGTGCTGGTCATCCTCATGGCAGGTGTGTAGGAGACGCGGGGAGCCAGGTCGCGGTCCTTCTCTTTCTGCCGGCGTCGGCGCCAGGCAAAAAGGCCCAGCAGCATCACAATGAGGAACAACAGGAGGACAATGCCTGTGACAGCACCCACCGAGTGCCGCTCTGCACCCAGCGCTGGGCTGATCTTGGTGTAGGGATTCAGCTCCTCCATCATGAGGGCGGCTGTGGGCGGAGGGAGGGCCTCAGCTGGGGCGCCTGCTGGCTCTTCAGATCTCTGTGGGACCTGGACTCCTAACACTAGGAGGCTTGGTTCTGGTCCTGGCCCTGGTCTTTAATTCCCGTGATCCCAACCCCTTACTGTGCCTATTTCTTCAACTGCCTAAAGTGAGTGGAGTCCTAGAGAACTCCCCAGGGACAAATGTGATCGTGGATCAGAAACAAAACAATGTTTGAATATTTTACTCTTCTTTAAAAAATAAGTTAGATAATGACTCATTTAACCTTCCCAGCAGCCTGGTGAAATAAGGACTGTTTAATTCTTTCTCTTTCACAAATGGAGAAACTGAGTCACTGAAAGGTAACTTGCCCAAGATCAACCAGTAATTGGTAGTGTCAGGTTTCTCATGAGTCGGAAAAACTGGACTCAGCCCCTCTCCCTGCTTACTAGCTGTGTTTCTTAGATGTGACTTGGAGAGTCCTCAGTTGGCTCAGTAATTGCACCCTCTGCAGGGGACTGTGAGCACCACCTGACAGACTGACAATGACAGCTGTGAGTGCTGTACCAGTGTGCCCATGATTACTTCCCACAAAACCCTTCTTGATATATGTATGGACTAACCCCCATCAGAATGCAGTGTGCATGGTTTTGGTCCCTTTTCTGTCATGTGGATAACTGAGCCCATTTTTATCCCCCATTTCCTTAGAACCAATAGCAATAGAACTCGCTACCTGTTTGCAGCACTTTACATAGGGGTCTTATGTATACAAAACCATTTCTCAAGGGCTCACATTATCTCAACTTGGTCGTCCCAACTGCCCTATGGGGGTCTTCGGACTGTAGACCTGGAGCCAAGGCTGAGCCCCTTCGGGTTCCTTGGCTCTCAGTGGAACATCGTGCCATGAAGGAAGACAAGGGCTAATCTAATCTACTCTTTCCACTTTGCATGTGGAGTAACAGGCCCAATAAAAGGAAATGACCTGCCCAAGGACACCTAGCAGGTTGGCAGACCAGAATTTGGCAGATCTTCAGATGGCCTGGTGACTTTCCCCAGCGCTAGCTTGTGGTTACCCTTGCTTGGCTCACAGGAAGCTTGCCAAGGATGAGCACCGTGAAGCTGAGGCTGCCTGCTCCATCTGCTCTCCAGCATCTGGAACCTCCTCCCTCCCTTCCACACCCACCTTACTCCCCCTCTCTGCCCAAAGGTGAATAAAGTCACAAAGTGTCCTTATACAATCCAGTTGTTCCTGTTGGGATCTCCCTAGAGTCTGCCTGCATGGGGCCCTTTCCACAGCCCCTTGCCTGAGACTCTGCCATCTGTGTATTACCTTGGTCACACCTGATTCCTTTGAATCCAGAGCTGCAATAACAGGTGCCAGTGACGTGGTCACAGGTCGCATTGTTCATGCACTCACATAGCTGCTGACAGCCATAGCCAAAGGTTCCTGGGGCACATCCTGTGTAATATGAAGAGTTGGGGTAGAAAGTGAGATGCAGCCACCCTCCAGTCCATACGTGAGCAGCTCTGCCTCATAGACTGGAACCTACTTCTTTCTCTAGCTCCCGCTATGCTTTGATTTGATACTTGGGGGCAGACAGCACCTCTACCCCTGAGTTGGGGGACACCCACCCCTATTTCCTTCACATTTAACACATTTATACAGTATCCTCCACATGCCAAGCCCTAAGCTGGGTGCCATAGGGGCTGCAAAGAAGGATCGAACAAGGTCTGCCTCCCTCATGACCCCTCAGGCTTCTGCTGTGCCTCAACAATCCACCATCCCCACCCAACTGGAGGAAGAAACCAAACACCAACGTAGGCACAATCTTCGGCACCTTTCCTTGGAAGTTACTCCAGAAGTCAAGGGAGCAGGGTGTGGAGCCCGGAATGGGGGGCCCTTGAAGAGGGAGGCTGAGGCCCGGCCCCGACACCCAGGGGCATGGGTTGGAACAGCTTACTCTGCTCGCAGTGTTTCCCGGTGAAGCCTGTGCGGCAGGTGCACTTGCCGCTGATGTGGTCACAGCTGGCACCATTCTGACACTGGCACACGCGCCCACAGTCCTTCCCATAAAATGCTGCTGGGCAGCCTGGAGAAACAGGGTGGGGGCAACTGGGGAGGTGCAGCTGGGACCAGACCTGTCTCCTGCCACCTCTCTCTGAGCATGGAGTGAAGACTAGTGAGACCATGCACCTGGGCCTTTCCCACACTCTGAACCCTCACACTAAGGGGGTGGCAAGTCATTTGGACAAAGGTGTCCTGGAACTAGAAGCCAGGCTGGGGTCTCCTGGCTGTGTAGTAACAGGCCACTCCTCTTCACTCTGGGCCCCACTGTCCAAAGGAGGTCTGGTCTTGGTGATTGCTAGGGAATCCGCCAGCCCTGGCCTCCCGGGACTCTGGGCTCTAACCCCTGCATCCAACCAAGCTTCTCAATCCTAGAGGTGGGAATGTTCCCAGCCCAGAGGCCCCCTCTCCCCCCCAGCTCTTGGACCCCACCTCCTCCCGCCTTCCACAGAAGCCCTGAACAATGCCCAAGGCCACCAGCAGGCCCCCACGGGATTCTGATGAGCTGGCGGCCAGGAGGCGGAGCTTACGCTGCGTGCAGAAGAGTCCGGTCCAGCCTGGGGTGCAGTGGCAGGCCCCATCCTCCGCGCTGCAGCGCGCCCCGTTGTGGCAACTGCATGTGTGGAAGCAGGCAGGGCCCCAGAACCCAGGTGGGCAAGCTGGGGGCGGGTGGGATGGGAGGATAAGGGCAAGGCAGAGAGGAGCAGAGGAAAGGGAGGGAGAGGATGGAAGGGTGCATGTCAGAGTCAAGATGCCAGGAGGCATCCAGGTGGCATTTCCTGACTTTTGGGGGGCGGGGCGAGAGGGGGTTACCGTATTCTCAGAATTCCTCTGTTCACTTCTTGGCCCAGTCACCCAGGATTTTCATTAAGTCCAGATTCTCTGCCCACTCTCAGCTCTGAGGGCTCCTTAAACCTCCCCTCTCAGGACTGACTAATTTGGAGTGTGTGTGTGTGTGTGTGTGTGTGTGTGTGTGTGTGTGTTAAATTGTAAACATCCTAGTTTACTATGTGAACACTGCGCTAACTTCCCCATGAGGATGGGAACTTCCCCAGGGTAGGAACTCTGCTCTTTTGGCTGGTGAGCTCCCTGAGGATGGCACCTGTGTCTCCATCAGAACGGAAATTCCCTCAGGCCAGACCATCTAACTGTGACCTCCCTAAGGGGTACGGGCTGGGTCTCACCCATGAGCCAAGGAGCTACACAGAGCATTAGATTGGATACACCTTACATGAACAGCCCCCAGAATCCCGTCTAGGCTTAAATGGTGCCCAGGACCATTCACATGGGATACCCACAGGATGCCCTCACCCCTATAAGGTGACTGCCCTGGCCTCACCTCACTTCCCTACTCCCTAACTCCAACATGCCAGTCAGTCCTTGCCCCCTCTTCTCTCCATCCAAACTTTGCTCAGGTGCTGATGGAGTATTAATTTTCAGTATTAACAATATTAATGGTACTATCAACAATAGTAACACCTTTGATACTGGCAGTTAATAATGCCAGTGATCAATCCTAGTAATTCATCATATTAGCTAGAGAGCTAAGCGGGACTCAGGTGGACATTCCTATCACAGGAGATTTCAGCTCTGGGAGGTAGTGGCACCAGTGGCAAGGAGTGGGGTGATTGGGGGCCTTACCTGGGGTAGGGGACATTCCCAGGAGGCAGCAGCTTACCCTGTGAGCAGTCCTTGCCAATCCATCCAGGGAAGCACTGGCAGGAGCCATCGATGGGGCTGCAGGTCCCATTGTTGGCACAGGAGCAGAGCTGGGCACAGTCCTGCCCAAAGCGCCCTCCAGCACATACTGTGGGCACAGGACAGCTTGGTACCTGCCCTTCCATCAATACTCAGACCACCACCCACAGCTGCATTCCCAGAAGTTTCCAGACTACAGCCATGACCATCCTGGTCTATTTAGGAGCTGCCCATCTCGGCCCTTCTCCATCTGCACAGGAATGAGTTCCCCCCTCGTGCCCACAGCTGCATCTCCTCCAGCAGAGGAACCGATTGAAGCCCGTGGGGTAGGATCACTTGACTGAGGTCTCACAGACACAAGTGGAGAGCTGGGAATCCGACCGCTGCACCCATCCAGTGCTCCCTGCACTGCTCCACAGCCTTCTGCCCTCCGTTACCACATTCTTGCCAACATTACTAATCCCATAGCCATGAGGGCAGAGAATGTAGCTGGAAGGAGAGGGACAGATGCAGAAGGCAGGTCTCTCTGCTGTTTATTGGAGGACTGGCCCTGAATGTCTATCCTGTCCACCTATTTCCTCTGTTTCTCCAAATCTGACCTGTTCTTCAAGCCTCAGCTCAGCCCTGTCCTCAGGAGAGCCCCCTGGGTCCACAGGGAGCTTTCCCTAACCAAGCTTCCAAGGTATTTCCACCCTGAGTCGCTTGTAGGATTTGGTGTCAGCCCCTCCCAGAGGAGTCACTCATTGGCCCCTGGAAGAAGGGCTAGTTTCCTCAGCTAGGCCACAAGCAACTTTAGGACTCGGTCTGAGTGTTAATCGAGCACCCCCCTTTCATTTCCCCCTGCAATCCATCCTCCACCTTCTTCCTACAGCTTTAGCTCTCTGAAGCACAGTTGTCTTCATGGCACACCTGAGCCTTGCCTGGCATCCTCAGTGGCTCCCCCGTGCCCCAGAATAAAATCTAGATCCTAGAGATCAGCACTTAATCTACCTCATCCAGACACATAAGCCACTAATTCACACACCACTTTCCAAATGCACCTCATGCCTATCTTCACTCTAGCTCTTCCCTTCCCTGACCCTCATTCCAGCTGTAGAAATCCTACCCTGCCTATAGGACTCATCTTAAGTGCCACCTCCTGCATGATCCCACTGTAAGAAGTGGCTAGTCCTTCACTATCCATTTTCTTCTTCCTTAGTAGAGTCTCGAGTTTCAGCTGGGCCCATGGCCCCCTGAAATAAAGAATTTATTTCCCTGGCTCCTACACAGCTTGGTGTGGCCATGGGACTACACTCTGGCCAATGGTAAGTGGAAATGTGTGTCTCTTTGCCTGTCCTCCTTGTTGAAAGATAATGTGGATTATGGATAAGAATGTTGGGTGAGATGGCTGGAGCTCAAGCAGCCATCTTTCATTAGACATGGAAGCCATGTGCTGAGATGGGAATGGCTGAACAAGAGAGAAGGAGCCTGGGTCCCTGACATCTTTGTAGGATACCCTACCATTCCCCAGTGGCCAACTTCTGGGTCTTCTCCCTGTTCTATTTTTAATGTGTGAGGAACATAATGTTTGTCATTTTCAAACCAGATACTTTGGGTTCTTATGTCAACTACTAGAGGCCCGTTGCATGAAATTCATGCACTGGGGGTGGGGGTGGGGGTGTTCCTCAGCCCAGCCTGCACCCTCTCCAATCTGGGATCTCTAGGGGGATGTCCAGCAGTTGAACATCCCTCTCACAATCCGGGACCGCTGGCTCCTAACTGCTCACCTGCCTGCCTGCCTGATTGCCCCTAACCACCTCTGCCTGCCAGCCTGATTGCCCCCTAACTGCTCCCCTGCTGGCCTGATCACCCCTAACTGCCTCTGCCTCAGCCCCCACCACCGTGGCTTTGTCCAGAAGGATGTCTGGAAGACGTCCAGTCTAATTAGCATATTACCCTTTTGTTAGTATAGATAGCTGAACTTGATCCCACCTGATTCACTTCTTCTCTGTTCTGGGGGGCTATTTGTTTCTGTTGGAGCTTCTAGAACACTCTGCTAGTTTCTTCCCTGGTCTTCTGTTACTGCGGCTTGTGAGCCTGTTTCAGGCCAGGCCTGGGTTCTACCCATGTTTGTGTCCCCCACAATGCCTGGAGAAACAATAGTCTCTTAGGCACAGTGGCTGAGTGTGTGGAAATACACTGGCTACCCCTCTCCCCACTCGTCTCCCAGGTTCTGCTGCAAAAGGCAACGCTTAAAAATGTCCCCTCTAGCCCTAGCTGATTTGGCTCAGTGGATAGAGTGTCGGCCTGCAGACTGAAGGGTCCCGGGTTCGATTCTGATCAAGGGCATATGCCCAGGTTGCGGGCTCGATCCCTGGTGGAGGGCGTGCAGGAGGCGGCCAATCAATGATTCTCATCATTGATGTTTCTCTCCCTCTCTCTTCCTCTCTGAAACCAATAAAAAATATATATTAAAATCAGTCAATCAATAAAAAATAAAAATAAAAAAATGTTCCCCTCTAGACTCCAGGCTTTGTGAGAGCAGGAACTTGGCTCTCTTGCTCTTTGTTGGGTCTGAGTGCCCAGCACAGTACTTGGTATGCAGCAGTCACTCAGGAAATGTTGCAGAATGGCCAAAATAGGCCCCAGGAGCAGCGACCTTCCAATAGTTTCTGCTAGAAATTCCTGTCCCTTTGAGCTCCTCTCAGTTCAGCATACTCTCCTCAAAGCCCAGTACCAGCAGCCCTACACCCTCCAGGCTTCCTTGCATTCCTGTTATGGGGGAGGAACTCCACATGGGGAAGTCTTGATTCTTGAAGAGAAGCAACTTCCCCAGGGCCCAGGCCTCTCCAATCTTTGGGCTGCACTCCCCTTTATGCAACACTGCTTGGCACCCATATTGCCAGCCATTCCCCAACCAGATTGTGGTACCTAGGATCTGTGCCTCGGATCATTGTCCACTTTCTCGCTCCTGGACACAATCAGTGGTTGGGACAAATAGTAAAAACAGCGTGGTACGCCACGCTCTCCAGTCAAAAGCCTTGGGCTTAGGTTTTATGTGTTCAACAAGCCCTTCTATGGCACTTCTGTGCCTCAGACACTATTCAGAGTGCTTCATGAATATGAGTTCAGTGAACCTTGTAACACTCTCATTGTTCTATATTTTCATTATTATTCCTTTTTATTAACTCTATTTCAGATGAGAAAACTGAGCAACCGAGAGGTTAAGTAACTTGCCCAGGTCACACAGCTGGGAAGTCCTGTCACTTTCTGGCTAAGGAGCTTTGAGCAAACCACATCACTCCTCTCAGTGTTTCCCCATCTGTGAAATGGGGATTTTAGCCTCAGGCTGTGGTTAATAGCTATGGGCAGGGTGGCTGATTGGGGCCCTGTGCTCCTGGTAAAACCCCTACTTCCTTCCAGGGCAGGTCCACTGCCTGGAGGGTGATAAACATCTCTCCTCTTTGCAGTTCAGGCTCTGGCTTCAGCTTCCTGAAAAACATGTAGTCCAGGCCCTCTGGGAGGTGTTGATTTGGGGAACTCATCCCCCCTGTCCTGGCTAGAGCTTTCCACTCCCCCCCATCTCTAAAACAAATTCTGAGCTTCTCTAACAAGACCATCTTATCTTTGAAGTCTTTGTCACAGACAAAGTCTTTGACAAATCCACCCACAGAACTGCTAATGTGATTAGTATAATACATTAATTGGGCCACTTCTTAGCTGAATCAAGAGTGAGGCAAAGAGAGGGGTGGTGGAGAGAAGGGGGGCTGGTGAAAAGAAAACATCTGGTTATATTTAATCTATGTTTAATGATTCTGCATGAGCAATGTCTGTAATTTGTAACTCGCTGGAAAGCTGGTCATTAGAAAGTGTCAGTTCAATTTTTTACAAGGTTTGAGACTTAACCAGGGCAGTTGCCATTAATAGCAAACTCTATTAGATCTATATGTGGAAAATACACATTAGGCCAGTGGGCGATAAATCAGACATTGCAGGATCTGAGAGTTACTCCTCGGGCTGCTTAGGTCCTAATTTAGACTCAGCCTATCTGTATTGATGGCGGGGTCTCTGGTGTTTAATAAGTAAACCTCCATGTGTCAGGTTATGATTAAGCTGTCCTAGGAGGGCTGCAAGCAAATGAAACTGTCACATATGTTTCCCTGGGGCCCAAACTTCTCATGACCTCAGAGCATCATGGAGTCAACTTTTCACTCATACATATTAACGGCCCATCCACTTATAAAAATAGCCCAGCTCAGTGGTGATTATTCATCAAAAGAATCAGTTCCCTGGGAGGTAGTGAGCTCTCAATGGAAGTATTTAAGCAGAGGCCAGATGAGATTCCTGCACAGATGACCTTGATGTTGCTTTTAGCTCTAAGTTTATCTTAGTCTAAGATCCCTTCCCTCCTTCCAGGTTAGAGTGCAAATTCTGTAACCTTGTGTTCAAAGCTGTTCCGAAGGCCCCGACCACCTCCTCAGCCTTTCCCATCCCCAGCTCCGCCATCCTTCAGCTCGTCCCTACTGCTGGACGGTCGCGTGTCGGCTCCCCTGTGCTTTGCCCAGGCTGTTTCCTCTACCCCAATGCCTTTCTTCCTTCTCTGCTTTTCAGGCTGAGGCCCAGTGAGGTCCTGCCCAGCGAGGTCCTGCCCAGCATGGAGCCATCTCCCAAATGCACACTGCCCTGGGGACACTAAGCCGGGGGCTGCAATAAGCAGTGGTGTGTGCTGGAGCCAGCTTCGACCTTTGCACTGTCGTTAAATATTCAGGATTTCTGTGACAGGTGTTAAACCACTGGAATCAGCCATAGTGGGAATATTTTATAGAAATTTGCAAATGTTATAAATCAGAGCTCTCCCCCACAGAGAGCCAGGTTAGCAGCACACCAAAGCAAATAAGCTTTGAGTGGTAGGGGTTGGCTGGAGTTGGTGTTGGGAAGGATTCCGCAGCTGAGACAGGAAATGAGGTGGTGTGTGATTAGTGATGTTGGCCTGAGTGTGAGGGGAGGAGAATTGCAAAGTTGCCATCTCCAGCTGAAGCCAGAACCGACTCCTCTGAGCTCCCACAGCTTTCTCTGCCTCTACCACTGGGCCTCATATAAGCCATGAGGACCTCACCTACGCTTGTTTTATTTTTCATCCATTTAGCATGGGCTCTGGCATCAGAATTTGTTTCTTGCTCTGCCACTTGCTAGCTGTGAGACCTTCAAGAAATGATTTGACCTCTCTGAGCCTGTGCCTTTAACTGCATCATGGCTTTGTCTTATGCCTTGTGGTGCCCAGGTCTTAGAAAGGTAGGCCCAAACCCTGAAGAGGCAAGGAGCTGCCTCCACAGATTATGATGAGACTCCAAACCCTTCCCTCCCTCCCAGGACTCCTCACCTCCCTGGCTCCCTTCCCCCCTGAGACAGTACCTTGGTTGCACAGGGCTCCGGAGAATCCGGGGAGGCACTCACAGACGCCGCTGACGTGGTGGCAGGGCCCGCTGCTGTGCACGCAGAGGGGGCACGGCTGGGCGCAGCTGTGGCCATAGAACCCAGGGGGGCAGACTGGGGGTGATGGGGAGATGTGGTCAGCAGCCCAAAGGGCCTCAGCCAGCCCTGTCACCCTTCCAGTTCCACATAGTGATGAAGGGAGGCTCCTCAAACATACAGGGAGAGCCACACCCACCACACCTTGGAGGGCCTGTCTCTGTGCAGAGAAGAGCTGTGGTCTGGTCCTCTTTCCATTGAGGGGCTGGGCCCTGAACTTGGGGGCAGAAAAGCCAGGGGGGCAGAGAGGGGACTAGAGGAAGGGCAGGACTAGTTCTAAATGGGAATGGGTGGGAGGATGAGGTGACTGAGGTGAGGTCTGAGGATGGAGAAAGGGGGCTCAGCCTTACTTCTCTGGCATAAGGGTCCTCGGAAGCCAGGGGCACACTCGCAGCTCCCATCCTCTGGGGAGCAGGAGCCGCCGTTCTCGCAGCTGCAGGAGACGGAGCAGTTGGGGCCCCAGCGACCAGGTGGACACGTGCTGTCACAGCGGATGCCTGTGGGCCAGAGGCAGACTCAGGTCAGCGGTAAGAGGGGTAAGGGAAAAGGAAGAACAATGGGCCCGGCCGGCATGGCTCAGTGGTTGAGTGTCAACCTATGAACCCGGAGGTCATGGTTCGATTCCGGGTTGGGGTACATGCCTGTGTTGCGGGCCGATACCCAGGGTGGGGCGTGCAGGAGGCAGCCTATCAATGATGCTCTCTCATCATTGATGTTTCTATTTCTCTCTCCTCCCTTCCTCTCTGAAATCAATTAAAAAAAATTTAAAGGAAGAATGGTGGGAAGGGGGCACCATGCAGTAGGAGAGGTGGAGGCAAACAGTGCATCTAGGAATGTAAAAGAAAAACTCAGCCAAGGCTTGGCCTATCAGGGAGGGCTTCCAGGAAGAGGTGATGCCATAACTGAGTCCTAAGGGCTAAGGGGAAACTAACCAGGTAAAGGGAATCCTATGTGCAAAGAACAGGAGGCAGGAGAGAGAATCATGCCTTGAAAGAAAAAATAGTTCCATGTGGCTGCACCATCTGTATATATAAAAGCCTAATGTGCAAATTGTCCCCTCGAGAGTTCAACAGGGAGACTGGGAATTCAATTGCTCGCTATGACGTATGCTGACCACCAGGGGGTGGTATGGAATGAAGGAAGGCCCCGGCTGGCCGGCAACCAGCAGCTGGGGAAGGGAAGCCCTGGCCAGCTGCCGGAAGACCCTGGTCGGCCCTGATTGCCGGCCAGGCCTAGAGACCCTACCCGTGCACAAATTTCGTGCACTGGGCCTCTGGTAAAGTATAAAATGAGCTTTGGCAAAGAGATGCGATTGTGGGAATAAGGGACCAGATCATAAGGGCCTCCTTCATTTTTGACATATTAGCTGGTATCTAAGGATAGGCCTGGGAAAAACCAACTATGGGGCAAGTGAGTGCTGTTACGGGGGTTGCACACACTGGGAGTGAGCTACTTGCCTACCCATGTTAGCCCAGGAGCCACTGGTTCTCCCTGGGTCCCAGCCAGCCAGCTCGGGCCTGGGACCCAGAGAGTGGGTGGGGTCTTTTCAGATTCTTTGACCACAGTCCTCGGTGCAATATGTATTTTATATCATAGGTGCACACATATGTATAATAGAAACCAAGCCTTTGAAAAATGACATTTACTGTGTATGATGCACTCTGATATTTTCTCTGCACTGTGATATATTCTATTCATTAAGAAAAAAGAAAGCTAGTTGTGACCAACAAATGGATTTAATGACCTTCAGTTTGACCAATGGTGGCCTATAGGGGATAGAAAGAGGAGCAAGGCCTACACATTCTTTTAGAGCTGAGAGGAAATTATGTGTTGGGGGTGATTACCTCCAAAGAAGGAATTTGAAAAGGCCTGAGGCTGGAGGCCCCAGCTCTGGAGTGGGGTTTGTTCCCAGGCAGAACGTCTCACATGCATTAATTAGCTGAATGGACCGGGTGGACCCTTAGAGACCTGCATGGCTTTGGAAGGTGAATATCAGGAGCTCAGAATATCAGAATTAGTTTAAAAATCATGTCTGCCTTCTTATAAGGACAGGGATTTTGAGAGAAAGAAAAAGAGAGGAAGACAGGCCCAGTGAACACAGCTAGTCCTAGCAGCGGAGGGAGAGCAGTGCGACCAATTTAGCTGGAATTGTACAAGCCCACCTGGGTGGCCGGGAGAGGGGGAGGAGGCAGGACAGCCGAGGGAACAGACAGGAGGGGAAGCAACAGGCTCCACTCATCCTGCAGTGCCCGTCTAGCCTGGTGCCTGCGCCCTCTCCAGGACACAGGTGTCTGTGCAGAGGGTGAGGGGCAGCTTCTCTCCAGGAAACGGGATCTTTCCCCAGTGAGAATGTGGGGCCACACTCCACCCCTGGATGGAGGCCTCTCCCTGGGGAGTGCTGGGTGCACAGAGGTGAGTCCTGGACCTGCAGCATGGACTGACTGCAGGGGAGCCTGGGGAAGGGGAGACCAAGGGGAAGCCGTGAAGCTGTGCAAAACCAGGGGCTGCCATCGGCCCCAAGGAATTCTTTTGCCCTCGGTGTTGGAACACCCAGGCTGCAGGCTGCAGGCCTAGAGACACTGCTGTTCCTGGGGGCACACGGACTAAGGTGGACTCCCCCATCTGATGGGACCTCTGATCCTGCCTACGCAGCAAATATTCTTTGTAGGATAACCAAGCACATGTATCATAGACCTGGCTCTTTCCTAGAACTATATGCAGACGTTACTATGATTACTAAAGCACACTGCTTGCAAAACACCCTGCATCAAGCACCCTGAATTTATGGCAGCATTTGCTATTGTCTCCCCCCAATTGGTGGGTATTAAAAGTGCAGCTACTCTCATGTGTGGGATCCTCAAATTGTTTTCAGGTCAGGAAGGGGTCCTTTGTCTTGGAGATTAGAACCACAGGGATAAGGTGACTATGCTAGGATTGCAGGTGGCTTACAAGGGCCCACTGGGTCCTAGGATTTGGCAATTATTCTACTCTAGGCCTGATTCTGTGGGAGTGGGGCTCATGTTTGAACTTCTTTTATGTCCTAAGAGCTACCTGGAATTGAAGACATTGGGACCTAAGCGGGGAGAAGGGCCCAGGGCTCCCTCTGTGCGGAGTGACCAGTTCTAGAAGGGGACTTACTAGTGTGGTCGAAGGGGCTGACCTTGGCCTGGTGGGAGGCTCTCCAAATGCTGAAGAGGCATAGCTTCATCAGCTACCTTCTCTAGGCCCGTTTCCCTGTAGTTGAAGGGGGATAATGATTCCCCTGAGAGGTCCCTGCCCTGCTAACCCCCAGGGAATCTCCCTGCTTCACTTTTCAGGACCCTCCACGCATCTATATTGGGGTAAGAATCCACATACTGTGGCCTCTAGTTCATGCCCCAAGGCCAGCAGCCACTCAGCAGCCTTCATCCTGTAGGGTCTCCTTCCTGGATGTCAGCCCAGAGATTCAAGCATCTAATTGATAGTCACCAACATACAGCTTTGTCCCCACCTGTTATTTGAATGTTTCGTGTTTAGGAGTCCTGTCTCCCCTGCCAGCAATTTGATGACAGAGACTCTGGTCTCCTGACACTTTGATCCTCCTTCCTTGGTCCTTCTAATGGACGGGGATGTCGTCGTGGTCATTTTTGCATCTCTGGTGCCCAGCACAGTGTCTGACACACAGTGGGTGCTTAGGGACTACTGCTCTTTTCGAGTTTTGCCATTCACTGCGGGCAGGCCTGACACAGTGCTGGACACATGGTAGCCGCCAAATAAAGACTTGGTGAATGCTTGAGTCAGGAAATGCTAACTGAAGGAGTAAATGGCTCCCCCTGAAACGGAATCCTGTGTCTCCCTTCCCTTGTCACTAATGTCCCTAGACCTTGGGCAACTCCCTTTCCTTGTCTGTAGCAGGAACAGGTTGGACTATTTCATCTTCAAGGTCTCCTTCACTTTGAGAGGAAAAACCATATATGGTTATAGGCCAGCTCCTTTCAATTTATCTCAAGAAACATGTAGTAAGCACCTACTATGTGCAGGGCAAGATGAATTAGACATGAGGCCAGTCGTCAAGAAGCCTGTGGCTTATGGGGGCCAGGGGAGAAGACATGCATACACTTTGGGCCCAGAAAACCTGGTGCTGCGCCAGGCACAAGCAATATGCCAGGGGCTGGGGAGGGGCCACTGAGCAGGCGGCTGGGGCCCCCACCCCCTCCCTATCTCTCCTCAGTCCCCTTCTGCATGATAAGCCCCAGGACATCAATCGCTCCTTTGAAATGTCTTCAGGACCATGTTTGGGGAAATTAGCTTTAGAACAGCAGAGGCTTTACTGAAAGGCTGTCCATCAAAGACAGGATTTCTAAGCACCAGATGTCATTAAAATCTTATCAGTGCACCTGAAATTAAGGCAATGAAAAATTAAAGTGGGTTTCTACTTGGCTCCAGCTAAGAGTCTAAGGTGCCAATGTCCTGAAGGGCAGGGCAAGGGGAGCCAGGTCGAAGATTCTGCCGAGGAGGCAATGTCCCTGGCCCTGGGCTGCTCAGAAACTTTCTGCTTCCAGAGAACAGAGGCTGCTCAGCAGCCGGTGTGAATTATTTATCTGAGGACGTCCACTGCCAGCAATGCCTGCATTTCCTTCTCCTGAGGCCTGGCTAGTGGGTTCATTGTCACAGTATATCATTATTCAGCACTTCCTGTATTCAAGGTTTACATTTACTGAGCACTTACTACGTGCCAGGTACTGTTAGCACTTACAGGTATTAATTCATTTAAGTTTCAAAAGGACCCTGTTGTTACAAGGATTATAATTATCTGCATTTTATGAATGGAGAATCCAGGCCCTGAGTGGTTAAAGGACCTGCCCAAGGTCACCAACCCAAACAGTCTGGCTGCACTCTTAACCGCTGTGTTATCCATATCTCAGTGTGTGGCAGGCAGTGGATACAGTGGTGAACCAGGCGGATATGGTCCCTTCCTCCACAGAGCTGATGGTGGCGGGGGGGAGGCAGATAATAAACAAATAGCTACTAATCTGAGTTCAGTGACAATTGCGGTTCGCACTGCAAAAGGAAAAACGTAGGGTATTATGAGAATAAATAAAGGTTAAGGGGGTGGGTTGTGGCTGGGGGAGAGAGCCTTGCCAGAGGAAATAACCTTGGAGTTGAAATCTGGTGGAGGAGAAGGCGTTATCAGGCGCAGAGACAGGGAGAGTGATCCAGGCAGAGGGACTACGCCTACAAAGGCCTGGAGGCAGGAAGGTGGTCGGCCTGGGCGGCTGGAATAGTGAGGGATGGGAGGGGGCAAAGGAGAGGTAGAGGAGTTGGGCAGGCCCAGTTTCATGTGGGCCCCAGGCCACCTTAAGGACTCTAGATTTTATATGAATGCCATGGGAAGCCACTGAGGCCTTCCGAGCAGGGACTGATGTGAAAGGATCTGGGTTTTGAAAAGTTCACGTTGGCCACCATGTGCAGAATGGAAGCAGCCGGGCGAGAGGGGAGGCGCAGAGACCAAGCAGGAGGCCAAGGCAGTGCCGGCTGAGAGAGAGTGCCTGGTGGGCCAGAGTGGGGGCCGTGGGAGGGAGAAAAGTGATGGATGACAGGTCATGTAGAGACTAGCCTGGGCTAAGGATAAAGTTCCTGGTCTCCCTCTCCACCATATGGTCTGCAAACACCTATGTCCACCAGGGGTCAGCCTTTGTCTGATTCTTCATTGCTGTGCCCCTTCTTCTTAGGAGAGAGCCTGCACATAGGTGTTCAGTAAATACTTGTTTACTCAGATTGAATGGAATGGAGAGCTGAAGCCCAGGAAATAAAGGGAAAGGTACATATTTAGGAAGCAAGAGGAAGTCATGAAGGAGAGAGAGCAGTCAAGAGAAGAAGGAAAATGCCAAGAGCCCAGTTTCCCAGGACCTGGGTGGTGGCGAGGCAGCAGGGGTTACCTGTCCATCCCGCCAGGCAGCAGCAGTGGCCGGTCACAGGATCGCAGCCATCGGCGTGGCTGCAGTCACAGCGCTCACTGCAGTTTGGCCCAAATGTGCCATCCTGTGGACAGAGGGGAGAGCGAAGTGATTAGACCCAGCTCCCCAGAGCTCCACACACTTCTGTTGGAATTTGATGGCAAAACTGAGCCACTGCCCCACAAGGACGCACAGAGACTGGGGCCGGGGCACAGTGGGAACACTTTTTATAACTGGGTGTCCACACAGCCATCAAGCCCCTCCAAGGAATTCTCTGGCTGCTTTAACAAGAGCATGGGGTTTGGAAGGAGGGAGGTGACGGTCCCGCCCTGCTTCTCAATGGTCAAGCTCAGAGGGCGGTAATGACCATCCATTAAAACTGTGAATGGAAATGCACTTTGCAAATTGCAACACATCAATCACATGTGAGGAATGACTGATTTATTCTTTGTTGCTAGGGAAGAGGTGGTGACTAACACGTGTTGGGTGCTCATTAGGTATCAAGAGCCTTATGTTCTCTTCACAACGACTCTGTGCAATGGTTCCATTCTACCCACAATTTAGAGCAGCGGTTCTCAACCTGTGGGTCGCGACCCCTTTGACGGTCGAACGACCCTTTCACAGGGGTCGCCTAAGACCATCCGGCATATCAGATATTTACATTACGATTCATAACAGTAGCAACATTACAATTATGAAGTAGCAACGAAAATAATTTTATGGTTGGGTCACAACATGAGGAACTGTATTTAAAGGGCCAGAAGGTTGAGAACCACTGATTTAGAGGGAAACGTGGTTAGAGAAGGGAAGTATCATGCTCAAGGTAACAGGAGGTGGCAAAGTCAGGATTTGCACCCAGGACTGTAGGACTCATGTGACAATATCACATCAGTTGGTTTAACTTAGTCATATTTTAGACTGAGATCCGGTGATTAAGTCTGGTGGTTGTTGCTGGATAGTGCTTAGTTCAGGCCTCCCACACCCCAATCATAAAATTATAGATGCTGGAAGCAGAAAGAAGCTAAGACATGATCTATCAGGGATGGCAACTCTGATGGCTTAGTGAGGGCCGTCCTATAGCACCGTATTGCGAAGGATTCTGAAGCTGCACTTGGGCTCAGGTAAACATGCCGAGTCAACTAATGTTTACCGAGAGCTGCAAGGGGCAAGGGATGCCACATCACCACATCACCATATCTGCCGAGTATCTGCCATTTTATAGATGAGAGGGCTGAGACCTGAAGTGTTTGGAAAGTGGCCACAGAGAGGTTAGAAGTAGGGCCGAGACCTGATCTACGGTTTCCATCTGTGCTCTTCTCTGTGGACAAAATAACTCCAGGGAAGGGTGAAGGGATGCTGGGCCCACAAGGACCTTTCCAGCCCTGGACACTCACCGGGCAGGGCAGCTCACAGGTGTCTCCCAGCCAGCCGGGGGTGCAGGCGCAGGCGCCGTCTGTGGGGCTGCAGGCCGCCCCGTTGGCGCAGGTGCAGCTCTCGTTGCAGTTCAGACCCCATGTCCCGCCGGGACAGGGCAGGGTGCAGTCGAGGCCCTGCCACCCTGAGGGAGGGAAAAGCTGTCGGCTCTCCATTCAGGGCCAGCACAGCCTGCTGCTCACTCTCCCCAGCTCTGCACAGGGCACCCTGCCCAAACCCAAACTTCTCAGATCGCTGGGTTAGGACACACATTCCACAGAGTCCGCTCCGAAAGACGGTTGCCACATGCTGGGTGGCTGTGCCGGCTGTTAGGAGAGCTGGGGCTAGAATGCGGTCTCCTGCCTCCCAATTCTCACTGTTTTTGCGTGGGCTCATGAGCCCACCTGGGATAGGGAACCAGCTGAGGTGGGGAGCGCTCTCTCAGCCCAGGTGGAGTCAGCCAGCCTGTCTCAGGGCCCTTGTTTTGGGGACGGCCCGATTTCCCACTCTAGACTGGTCACTGGCCTGCTGGCCCGCAGCTCCGTTTCTCCCTCCCCTGCTCTGTTCTCTGACCCAGGTGGCCGACCCCTGTAGCTGCACCGCCCAAGCCCCCCTCCGCTGGCTCTCAGACGGGCTTGCTGATGAAAGACCTGGCCCACAGACCGGAGGGCGGGAGCAGGAGAGACACCAGGTGTCTCTTATTTCTCTGCCTCGAGCCTCTAGTGCAGTGATGGCGAACCTATGACATGCGTGTCAGAGGTGACACACGAACTCATTTTTTTGGTTGATTTTTCTTTGTTAAATGGCATTTAAATATATAAAATAAATATCAAAAATATAAGTCTTTGTTTTACTATGGTTGCAAATATCAAAAAATTTCTATATGTGACACGGCACCAGAGTTAAGTTAGGGTTTTTCAAAATGCTGACACGCCGAGCTCAAAAGGTTCGCCATCACTGACGGCTCACTAGTGGGGCTGTGTCTCCTTCGTGCTCCAGCTCTATTGTGCTGTCCTGTCCCTCTGTCCATGTCTCAGCTCCACCAGGTGGCCCTCACCCCCAGGAGTGGCAGCAGCTCCTCCCACAGTTGCTAATCTCTGGTCGATCACCTGCCCTTGTCCCTCCTTCAGCTCTCTCACACCAGGTAGCAAATCCCCTTTATCTCATTCCCACTATTGAAGCCCCTGGCCTGGGTTTCGGTGGCTGGAACCTGATGTACAGGCTCCCTGACCCTGCGTGTGGGTGGATGGGGCAGGAGCAGCCCAGACCCCTCCACTGGTGGCCCCCTGGGCAGTGTGCACCTCTGAGGGGGGTGGGATTGGGAAAGAGGGCACGTTACCTTCCTTGCAGGTACAGGAGCCGTCTACTGGGGAGCAGGTGCCACCGTTGTTACAGCTACAAACAGATGAACAGTTGGGGCCGTAGGTCCCTGCTGCACAGGGAACTGCACAGACCTCTCCCTGGGAAAAGAGGTGAGTTTTGGATCAGAGGTTGCCCCATGCTGGGTGGCTGTAACCGGCGAATACTGACCCTGACCCAAGATGTCCATGTTCTGGAGTCTGTATGTTATCTTACGGGCGAAAGCGACTTTGCAGATGTGATTAGGGCCTTGAGCTGGAGAATCTTGGATTACCCAGGTGGGCCCAATGTAATCACACGAGCCTTTAGAGTGGTTCTCAACCTTGGGTGCACATTAGAATCACCTGGGAATCTTTTTAAACTCTTTTACTAATGTTATGGCCCCACCTCATAACAAAGAAACAGAATTTCTGGAGGATGAGGCCCAGAAATCAGGATTTTAAAAAGATTCCCAGGTGATTCTGATGTGCAGCCAAGGTTGAGAACCACTGCTTTAGAAGTAAAAGATCATCAAAAGGGGAGCCTTGAGATGTTCTCCACCTGCCTTTGAAGATGGAGGTGGGAGCCACAAGTCAAGGAAAAACGGGGGGGACCTCAATCCTACAACCCTCATAACTGAATTCTGCCCGCAACCGACTGAGCAGGAAACAGTCTCCCCTGGAGCCTCTAGAACAGCCGTGGGCAAACTACGGCTCGCGGGCCGGATCCGGCCCGTTTGAAATGAATAAAACTAAAAAAAAAAAAGACCGTACCCTTTTATGTAATGATGTTTACTTTGAATTTATATTAGTTCACACAAACACTCCATCCATGCTTTTGTTCCGGCCCTCCGGTCCAGTTTAAGAACCCATTGTGGCCCTCGAGTCAAAAAGTTTGCCCACCCCTGGTCTAGAAGGAACACAGCCTGCCACCACCTTGACTGTAGTCCTGGCAGACCCAGACTAGACTGTTGACCCACAGAAATGTAACATAATACATTTGTTTTGTTTTAAGATACCACATTTGTGTTAATTTGTGTTACGGCTGTAACAGAAAACCAATACAGCGATCCTCACCAGTTGGGGGAAGGTCAGGCTTCCAGACCACAGCTCCAGGATGGGCAAAGCCCCCAGGGAGCTCGACCTCTGAGTCTGTACTAGGTCGCAGCAGCCCAGAATTGAACCCTTCGCCTCTCAGTCTTATTTGATTGTCACCAGCAACCCCAAGACACAGATAATAATTTCCTATTCCTATTCACCTGAACCCCAGAGAAGTTAAATGGAAGTAATAATAGCTAATGCTTATTAAGTGCTTTCTCAATATCGGGCACCCTGCATCCATCATCGCATTTAATCCTCACAGGACCCTCAGGAGATAGGAACTATCGTCTCAGCAGTATTCGTACTTAACAGATAGAACAGTTGTATGGAGAAGTTAGTGACTTAGCCCAGGTCATGGAGCTAAAAATGGTTGCTCTCTATCTGAACCCAGCTGGCTGTGTACGCATAAACTGGCTCCCGGGAACGCATTCTCTGAGATGGGAGTTAGCGAGCTCTTGAAGGGTAAGGGGAGCAGGACTGGGCAGAGGGAGAAGCTGCACTGAGGTGCAGTTGCAACAAGACTGATCTTTGGGGAAGCTCTAGAGCTGGGATGGCCCTTCGACTTGTCCCGCCAGGGGAGAGGGAGGGAGGGCCTAAACATCCCCCCAGTCACTGGGTCTCCACTGCCCGGGGGAGGGGGCATTTCAGGGGAAGCTCTGGGCTGAGGGCCATTTCTGGAAAGGGGCTCAGCCTGAGCCCCCAGCTCCCTGCAGTGGGGAGGAAGGACGGCCTCCATCCTAAATGGTGAATTTAGACAGCCTACTACGCAGCCATTCCACCAGGCCTCCTTTGTGGGCTATGAGCTCCAGGGGGAAGTTCAGAGTGAGGGCAAGCCACAGAGCAGGAGGCCAGGAGAGGGATGTCAGAGGCCTGGAGGTGGGGGTGGAGGGAACCTTCAGTTAATCAGAGAAGCGGGGTGGCGGGTCAAGGCAGTCGAGCGGGAAGAGTGTGGACAAGAGTGCAGAGGAATGTGAGAGTGAAGAATGTTCCAGGGGAGCTGGAGGGCGGTGATTGGTGTCGGAAGGGGGAGGGAGATATTTAAAAGGGGAGTTGGGAGCCTTGAATGCCACGTAAGGGAGTCTGGGCCTTGCTCCCTGAGTCCCCCAGGACATGCCTCCCTCACTCAGAACCTACCCTGGAGCTGTCTGCTCTAGAGAAGGTGGTCACTGGGTATTGAATTCCCACTGCATCCCCCAGGGAGTGTCTCCAGCCAGCTTCTGGGGTCTTACACCTAGGCGTACTGTAGGAATGCTGAGCAGATGGGACCAGGAGACAGAGCTTGTCTGGGCCCCACTAGCTGTGTTACACGGGATAGGTTACTGCCCCTCTCTGAGCCTTCGTTCCAGCATCAGTGAAATGACAGGTCTGAAGTAGAGGAGCTCACTGCTAACTCAAAGGGTCCCAGGCAGCTGGCCTCACTCCCATTTAGGCCACAGAGAGACCCAAGATTACGTATGAGCCGTCTGAGCCGTCTGAAGGGAGACTCCTCTCTCCCCCTTTCCTCCTCCTGGCTCTCGAGCACTGGCTGGGTCAGGAAGGAGAGACTGGGGAGTGCAGAGTCCTGCACCAGAAGGTTCCACAGTTCCCACTCTTCCCCCTGCCAGTCCCTGGCAGGCCTTGACCAGCCTGGAGTCTGCCAGCACTCCCATTACCCAGATCACTCTAATTTCTCCAAGATTACAAATAGCCCATAGAACATATTTACCCACTGAGAGCCTTGGTCCGGGTGCAAATTGCATGCACAGTTCATGATTTTCTCTGCATGCGTTTACATTGAGAGCGGCTTCTCTCCTGGTGCCCTCATTCATGTCCCCAATCCTGGGAGGCCTCCAGGGCCTGTGTGCCCAGCTGAGGGTCTGCTGGTGGGGCTCCAAGAAAACTCTCCACCCTGGCCCTGCTCCAGGGGCCAAGATGCAGAGCACCCCGCTGGAAATACCTGCTCCCCAGAATGCTGCACCTGGGCCCCATTTCCCCCAGCACAGCCCATGCAAGGATATGGACAGTCAGTGTGTTCTTACAACAGCCCTGGGAGGTCACCAGGTTGAGAGGACTTATTGCTTCCCAGAGAAGGAGACGGAGACTCAGAGGGCCAGTGAGTTATCCAGGGGCCCACAGTGTATCAGTGAGGGCGAAGGAGCAAAAACCAGACCTTCCTTCCAGAGTCGGGGCAGAGCCCAATGGTTAGAAAACGGACTCTGGTGTCATCCTACCATGCAGCCTTGTGCAATTTACTAAACCACTCGGGGACTCGGTTCCTCCATCTGTAAAGTGGGAATAAGAATACCCCTACTTCATAGGATTATTAAGAGGATTAAATTAGTTATCATATGTGAACCAGACAGAGCAGTGCCTGGCAGTCAGAAAGCACTATAAAAGCTATTATTACTGTGCCCTGGGCGGTGTGGCTCAGCAGTTAGAGTATCCAAAGGGTCTCAACGGGTTTGATTCCTGATCAAGGGCACGTATCTAGGTTGCAGGTTA